GCACACGCACCCTGTTCCACAGGGAAGGTTGTCTTGCTGCTCTGGCCCTTGGTAAGATGGGTACCCAGCATCCCCAAGGGGTGCCCTGTATTAAATGAAGGACAGAAGGACCAGCCCAGAGCCGTCTGCCAGGAGTCCCCGCTGCTAGCCACGTGGTGGTCACCGTGGGCTCAGGTCCCAGGCCTCCCCTTGCACCTAGAAACTACAGGTGGGAAAAGGCCTGCCTCCCTCCCGCCCAGAGCTGGGCCAGGATCCTGCTGTGATGGAAGGACTCACCTGGTCGGCAAGCTGGGCCATCCAGCCCGCCCTCCCAGGCCGTGCCCCCTCCCTGCCCGCCCTCCCAGGCCCTGTGCCACCAGACACCCCACTGGAAGGGGCCGGGGCCCCTTGGAACAGGCCCTCCTGCATTACTGAAGGGCCTGGCCCTTCGAGTTCCAGTCAAGGCCCCCCTGCCTGGGCGGGTGTGCTCACCTGGTTTGCTGTTGGCGTGATGGCTACGCTCTAAACATCCAGGCGCAGGCCGCCGCAAAGCCTCCTGCCCGGGCCCCAGGCCCCAGGCAGCAGGACATGCAGGACCCAGGAAGTCGGACCCCAGTGCAGGGACAGACCACCCCTTTGCAGGGTCCTCTGTCCCCGGAGGTGTTCTGGCTACTCAGAGCCCTGGCCGCCCTCCCCGCTGCTCTGATCCCACACACACAGGCACCGCGGTGCTGGTTTTGTGTTATTTTATTTGCTCTTTCCAGTCTGAAGCTATTATCATGGGCATTTAGTTATACAAATGACACTTACAAAAAATAAAAGACCAAGACACCCAGAGTGAGATGCATGGCGGACAGGGGTGGGGGGCTGGCAGGGGTGCGGCTGGGAGCCAAGGGTCAGGGCTGGGTGTCTCCTCACAGGCTCCCAGCTGAGGGGGACACCCGGCTTCGTCCCACCCTGAGACCCAGAATCCAGTCAGACAGGAGCACCAATACGCTGGCTGGAGGTTCTGGCTGGGGGGGAGGGAAGGGGGCAGGAGGGCAGGGCCAGTGAGCACCCCTGGGAGGTGGAGGCAGGTTCTGGGTTTGGGGAGGTGCCCTCCCTGCCCCACCACTAGCGAGCAGAGGCACCAAGGCCTGGAGATGCTGCCCGAGGCTTGCCTGCGCCACCTCCAACAATGACATTTCATTAAAAAAAAAAAAATACTGATTTGGTCATTTTCTGCTTCCAGTTTGGCCAGGGTGAGAGACAGGGGCAGGGTCCCCGGAGCACAGGGGACGTGCAGGGCAGGGCAGTCCTCTCCGTGCGGAGGGGACAGGTGACGGCACTCTGGTTCAGCCCCCGGCCCTGCAGGCGCTCCTCCCGAGGGGCCACCAAAGGGCTTGGGGCAAGGGCCCGGCCCCTGGGGAGTTGGGGGGAACCTCGGCTGGGGGGAGGGGCAGGAGATTCCAGTTAAACCCCGCCACACCCAGGGCTCTAGCCCCCACTGCTCCTCAGCCACTTTGGGGAAATAAGGCTCAGAGTTGTCTGAGGTCAGAAGAGGTGCCAGCCTCGCCCACAGCAGAGAGGGCGGAGGGTCCCCAGTCCGGCTAAGGGCCAGGCCGCAGCGCTGACCGCCTGGGAGAGGCCACGCAGGGCAGCAGGGGGGACACCGTAGGAAAGGCAAGGGGCTCGCCACCCTGGCGGCGCCACCTGGAGAG